TTGGATTTTTAGAGTTTTAGCCTTTCAGCAGAGCCTTTGACTGAACAGGACAAAAATAAGCATACGTGACACTAGGACTTACCGCGTGTTGATACAGGTACTATCCCATGATGCTACTGATATCGTAAGTGTCCTACAGCAGTTCTATGCAAACTTGCAGAAACATTTTTATACAGTTATTATGTATAAGAATTTGTGTATTGATATAAGCACTTTTTCGCTGCAGTTATTACTCACAAATATCTTGCCCATCTTCCAAAAGATGTTTTAGAACATTGGTGGTTTTAATGAAATTTTGTTATTTATGATATATCTTCGAAACTCGAGTTCATTTGTATTTGGTCTAACGTTGTGACGTGCTTGTGTTGATGGCCATGAAAAGAGGTAGAGTTCTTGAGATCTTTCGCCGCAAACACAGCTATCTGAAGAAGAGATACAGTAAGACCCCGCTTAACGCGGGGGATACGTTTCATCAAAGTAGAGCGTAATACGAAACAGCGCTAAGCGAGGCTATCTTAACATGTAAATAATGGGGTTAGGGGAAGACGGATAAAAAATGGTTAGGTATTAAATTGAATAATTTTTTTTAATAAAAATAAAATCAAACATTTATTTCTTACAAAAAATAAAAAAAATATAAACGAATATACTTTTAAAAACAAATAAAATTCTCAGTCAGATCATTCAGTCTATTCTGGGTTTCCAATTTTCTGCCTTTTTGTTAAGAAGGCATTATGATAGATTGGCTTAATGGCATATTGCTTTCAATTTCGTATTCAATCCATATGCACTGGTGTGCAAAAATTAAGGACGAAGTCGAAAAATTAGCATATCAGCTGAACGAAGAGGCAGAGCGGACAGAAAGACCAATCAGGAGATTAAGTAAGGTGATGTACGGTAGCACATGCGCAGATATGCAGGTAGACGTAATGGAGGAGTGTCTGAGTAGTATAAAGCATGTTGTCGGTGTAAGATCAGTATTTCTGGCAAAGAGATTGCACGCCGTATAGCAGTTAAAATTACACCGAGTTGCTGCCTTAGCGAGAAATGGCGAATAATCAATCTGTTAGACGACATCTGGATGCTTTTACCCGAGGTCAAATAATTGGGAAGTTGGAGGAAGGCCGAAGTGTGACAAGTGTGGCTGCAGAGTTCGGAATTGCTCACAGCATCGTTTCACGACTTTGGAGACAATTTCAAACTACAGGAACAGCTATCCGGGGGTTTAGTAGTGGTCGTCCACGAGGAACGACACCCGCAGATGACCGGTATATTGCCTTACAGGCCAGAAAAAACAGGCGGCAGACAGCGGGAGAAATCGCTAGACAAACGACACAGGCGACTGGACGACCGATATCGCGTTTTACCGTGGCCAGAAGACTGCACGGTGGTGGTCTGTTTGCACGACGCCCTGTACGGTGTGTACCTCTAACGCCTGCCCATCGGAGAAGGCGTTCCCTGTGGTGTCGGGAACACCGGAATTGGAGAGACAATGAATGGGGACGAGTACTCTTTACAGATGAGAGCAGATTCAGTCTGAGTAGCGATTCTCATCGCATACTCATCTGGAGAGAGCGGGGAAGCCGCAATCATCCCTCGAACATCATTGAAAGGGACAGGTATGGAGGTAACGGTGTTCTCGTTTGGGGGAGGCATCATGCTTGGTAGTGGTACAGACCTTCACATCTTCGACGTAGGTTCAGTCAACGGGACACGTTATTGTAACGAGATTCTTCTTCCATATGTGCGTCTTTTTAGAGGCGCTATGGGTCCGCAGTTCCTTTTCATGGACGACAATGCACCATGTCATCGCACAGTAGCTGCCGAACAGCTCTTAGAGAGTGAGGATATTGAACGTATGAATTGGCCGGCACGATCTCCGGATCTCAATCCCATCGAGCATGTATGGGATTTTCTAGGCAGACGTTTGGCAGCTCGTACCTTACCACCAGTAACGATTCCGGAGCTTCGATTGGCGCTGCAAGACGAATGGGCAGCAATGCCTCAACAACTCATTGACATCCTCATTCTCAGCATGGTCAGACGCTGTGAAACCTGCCTAGCAGTCAGGGGAGATCATATCATCTATTAAATACCGGATGTTTCTTGCTGGACACCCTTCACAGGGATGTTTCGGCCTTCAGTCGCATTGCGCTCCATGCTACTTTTTCAATAAAGCTTCTTTTTATTCCTCTGATTTCTCTTTTAGTAAGTGTTGCTTACATTACTCATGTCCTTACGTATTGGGGATCTTACGGTATTAAATGTGTTGATTTGGAAAGCTTTTGTACAAAGTTATATTGAAAAAACCGTCTCGTCCTTAATTTTTGCACACGAGTGTAGAGAGTCGTTTTTCCACTTCCTCTATAATGTTATTTCTAGAACGGGTAATTCTAGTTGCAGAGCTTGACGTAGTTGCAGTTGCTAATGACAGTATTTTTTCTTTATTCTTAAAAATTGTCCTTATTGTTGAAGTTGCCAAATTCAATGCAGCACTAATTTGAGATTGACGTTCACCAGAATCTAATCTTCTAACCACTAGCATTTGAGTTTTCAGTGAAATGCTTTTTCTGGTTGCTTTCTTTTCTTGTTTTTTATTATCACCCATGATAAAAACTAAAGATCATAATATTTGTTCACTGTATTAATCGTTATAGTAATTATATAAATTTAAAACTTACAATAATGTTCAACGAAATGTTTCAAATGATAAAAATGCGTCTGTACCAAGCAAGAAACACAAGAACAACACTGTTTCGGATATGTTATTTGGAAACCTAGCGGCTGCGCACAATTTCGGGAGAATCCCCAGGTTGAAATAAAAGAGCGCTAAACCGAAACAGCGCTAAACGAAACAGCGTTAAGCGGGGTCTTACTGTACTTGACTTCTCTTGTAGTAATAAGTGGGGTAAGGTCCGTGTCCAGGTATGAATTGGTTTAAACGGGGTTATTGGGACATCTTTCCCCGTTTATTGCATTGATTAGTTTATGTGTGTGTTTGTGTGCTATGATTAGTTTATGCCGCCCTTAAATTTGGCTACCCACGTGCTGTGCACGATCTTTTCTCTCGCTAGGATCGGCCCTGTCACGGTGGCAGCTCTCTTTTATATTACAACTGCAGATTCGTTACCTAATATTTCGGAGTGGGCATATATCCACTGGAGTTTAAGAATAAGGTTGTCTAGTGTGCCAATTAAAAGTTTTGTATGCCGCTGACAAACGGATTTTTGCAGAATGTGATTTGGATTACCTGAAGGCTAGAGGTTTAGTTTGCATGTCTGATGATATATATACAATGGCCATTGCATACGCAAGTGCATTTGCAACCAACTCAGCTTGAAAGAGTGACTTGCTCTCTTTGAGCTTTTTTTGCCACGTAATTATGATCTAACTTCCATGTAGTATCCAATATCTTCTGCAGTGCCACGCTTTCCGGACAGTTTCTTTGATTCGGAGCACACGAACGGTTGCACATCCTCGTTGAACTAAAGATGCAAAGGCTATCTGTAGTATTTTATGTTGATTAAACAGTTATTATGATTTAAGCATGTAAATTAGTTTTTGTGTACTTAAATCGACGGTTTGAATGTTTTGCAGTGAGAGCTTCTGGCAGTGTCGCTTTGCAGTGACGTACTGTCGCCAGCTCTTCCAAAGTTATTTCTGCTTTAACTTCTTGCTAACAGACGTTTAAAATACGTTCCGGTAATTATTTTGAGACAGCTTAAGTTGTCTGTTTTGTGTGTGGGCTCAGACTACATTACTTACATTTGCATTTATCTTATGCTGTCCGAGGTTCGAATCCCGCGAACGGGCTGGCTGCATGGGTGTTTTCGTAGTTTTCCCCATGTGTAACGTGTATACGAGCCAGTTTCCCTCAGAAAGTCCTCAACGAAGGCATTCCTCCCCTTAGGCAGATAGCCCTCGAGGCTTTGTCATAATCAAACACACTTTCATTTCATTTATCTTATGTCATTTTACATACACTGAAGTAGCGGAGATTCATCTGTAACACAACTAGTAACTCTTCCGGTAAATGAAGGATTTGAATAAAAAGGTTATTTTAACCTTCTTAGGACTTGGTCATTTGCTCCAGTCCTAAACGATAACTCGCTTTTCACTCTAGTAGGATCTGGAGCTTATTGAGATAAGCTTCTAGACATAGGAGAACTCCACATATTCCCTTTAAGTGCAATTAATATACTAGCGGGAGATATTTGGTATCTCAGAAGACGTTTTCTTTGTGCTCAGAGCAGCAGATTTTTCATTTTAGAGCAGCAGCTATTGTGTACCATGTTCTAAGCGTCGTCGAGTGAAGTTCCCAGTTGGCTAGGCTCCACTGAGAACCAAAATCTCCTGGAACTATGGGAAATAATAATCTTTTTTTTTTCAATACCTAGTCGCTTTCGGTGAAACCACAGCACACTACTGCCCACGGGGAACATGATTAATTTAAACTGAGCATTTAACTTTTAGCAATAATGTATTACTTTTACCAAATGTACTTCACTATTAACTCTGAAAAGCTATCGACTTGAAATGTTTCGAAAGAAAAAAGCTTTGCATTCGTTCAGGAAGGCTAATCATAGATACATGCAATAGGAGCATAAGTAAATGGTGTATGAAAGCAAGCTTTGAGCCAGTCGAATATAATAGAAACTGCTTACTTATGCTGTTGCATGCATTTCAATACCTAGGCATTGTTTGAACTGACAAAAAAATTCGTATTTCTTTTATTTAAATTTTAATAGACCCACAACAAATTCCCGTATCGCACCAAAGCTTGATAGGAGTTCAAATATAAATGGGGTTTAATATTACTGCTTATATTCGGTGGAAATGAAAAAGCGGGTGCCTGGAAAAGGTTTCATTTCCAGCTTGCATGCATGTCATCAATTTTCGACCAAGATTAAATGTTTTTTTCCGTTTTTTCTTTTTTCATATTGTCAGTATAAGATTTCTTGCATTTGTTCTAAATTCTTGTTTTTTCCGCTCTCTCTTAGGATGGAACCTCGGTTATTGAGCGTGAGATTAGGCGCTCATGATCTGAGAAAAGAGCGTGAGCCTGGTGCTGTGGACGTCAACGTAGAATCCGTGCGACGACACGAGCAGTTCGATCCTCGCACTTACCGTAACGACATTGCTGTTCTAAAGTTGACTCGCAGCGTTCCTTTCACGGAGACCATTGCTCCCGTTTGTTTGCCATATGATAGCTTAAGAGGTCAAAATCTCACTTTAAAGACTGCTTTTGTCATCGGCTTTGGAACGACTTCTTTTAGTAAGTGTATTTAAATGTATATAGAATATAAACGATAACTTCTTTCGTTTACCTTTTTTTGGAACTGAAATTATTAAGAGGTTATACTGACGGCAATGAAAAGTTAAGGGGAAATGCGTATGGGGAAAGTTAAGATCGATCTTGATTAGTTATCTTTAACTTCTTTTGCCTATTCTAAAAAGAAGGCACTGATAAAAAAGAGATAGCCATCCTTTGATGGTAGTTTTAAAAGAGCATATAGGGGTGAATCATATACAGGGGGGTTCCAAATTAATGGTACAAACTTGGAGGGAAAGTACGGAACAAAGATACGAATAATATTCGCATAGGAAAAACCAGGTCGCCATCCAGTTTATTTAGTCATTAATACATCACTTAAACAACAAGTTTAGAAAAACAGTTCGAAATTCCGTCCACCAACAGCGAAACACGCTTGACAGCGTTGGTAGAGCAAATGGCGTACACTGGGAAAGATGCCAGGTATTTCACGCACACATGCAGCAGCTACTGATATTCGAGCAACGAGATCCTCAGCTGAGTCAACTGGAATTGCATAAACAAGACTCTCCAGATGTCCCTAGAAAAAGTAATCGGGGCTCTAAAAATCGGGAGATTGGAGTGGCCAAGGGACTTGTCCAACACGATCAATCCGTCGCGTCCCAAAAGTGGCATTCACGTGATTGCTAGCATCAGTGCTGAAGGGGGCTGGCGCCCTATCATGCTGGAACAACATTCGGTTACGAGCAGAGATCGGAACATTTTGCAACTTTTCTGGTAATATCTATTCCCGTAAAATAAGATAATGTTGGCCATTGAGTTGCTGCGGCAGTAGTTATGGGTTAATTAAAAGGTCGTGGACAATACCCGCCACACATTCACACTGATTCGTTGCTGAGACGCAAGTGGTCGCGTTGCGTTTGGATTCTCAGTTGCCCACACAGGAGAATTGTACGCATTAAATACACCCTTCCAGGCTAACGTCGCTTCATCAGTAAGTAGCACATGAACTGTGAAGTCCGTCTGATGAAAGCCAGTAGCAAAAGTTCAGGCGCAGAGTCTTGCAGATTCAAAGCTTGTACGCTCTGAAAATTGAAGGGATGTAACCGAGTTTCGTTTAACGTTCTCCATATGGTCTTAAAGTTAACTCACACCTATGTTTTGTGCAACAGCTGTTGTAACTTGGCTCGAGCCTATCAGCCACAATGTCCAAGATGCTCTTTTCAGATCTTGGATTGCGTATAGTTCGTTGTCGACCAGCATCCTGTCTGGTATTGTGGAAAGAACCTGTTTCACAAAGTTGACCATGTAACTGCTGAAATATTCTGTGAACCAGCATATCCGGGAACTGCGCATGATACATTCGTAGCACAGCTCTAGCGTTGCCTCTTGCACGACCGTACATGTAATGCGTGTCTGCTTTTTCAGCATACGGAATGTCTTCCATCACTGACGACAGCAAAATCGCAAATGACGTCATACACCTACTGCTCTGTTTTCCTATTGTAAATGCATTTAAGTTGTATTTATGACTAAAGAAATAGATTATAGCCTGAGTTTCTTATTTTAATATTATTCGTATCTTTGTTCTGTACCTCATCTCCAAGTTTGTAACCTGAATTTGGAATCTCCCCGTATAAAAAAGGGACTCAGATTTTAATTAACCATATCTAAGAGAAAAGGCGGAATTTAGAATCTCTCTTATCATAAATCTGAGGTGTTGTGCATTTCTAAGGGCTTCATAGCTTGTTTTTCAAGCTGACAGGTTCGTAAGGGTTCAAGTGATAATCCGCTGCTATCAAAGAGGGTAAAGGCGTAAGGTGAGGGAATATAAAAAAACAAATATCAATACTGATTTTTCTAGGAAGCCCTAATCTGATAGAAAGAAATGTCGAAAATGTGCAAGTTTTCGTGATGCTTTATTGAGATTTACTTTTCAAGCCGAATGATATAAACGGGAACCAGATTACAGTATTTAGCCGCACATGAAAGCTAAGAAATAACTGAGAGGAAAGCATAAATGACACTTCTGCAATTAACAGATTGCTATATTGAAAATTAAAATTAATTTTTATCATTATTTCGCAAATAATATTGTTTATAAAGTATGAAGCATGGTTATGTTTCTTATAATACACTCTCTTGCAAAAAAATCGAAGCATCATGAAGGAAGTGGTTGTTTTTCATGAAATTGAATATGTTTATAGCTCATACACAGATAATAAAAAAAAAATCATAGTACCTGTTCACGGCTCACAATCACCCTTTCAATGTTCAAATTAGTAGTTGGTAGAACTGTTCCTGGCAGCAGTGCATGCTTGAATTCGTCTAGGCAAGGAGTGGTATAGGTTCCTAATGTCATCCTGAGACACATTCTGCCAGGCATTCATCAGTTGTCTCTATAGTTCTGCGATATTTTGTGGTGCCCGAATCTGGCGGCCTACCATGTCCCAGACATTCTCGATTGGTGAAACGTCTGTTGACCTTGCTAGCCAAGGAAGAGTATCAACCGCACGGAGACAGTCCAGAGATATGCGAGGGGTATGTGGCCTGGCATTATCTTGTTGGAAAATGGCCTCAGGATGACGTCCAATGACGGATAGTGTAACCGGCCGCAGGATGATATCAACATATCGTTAAGCTGTTAAAGATGTACGGAGGATGACTAAAGATGACCTGCCGTCATAAGAAATAGCGCCTCACACCATCACACCAGGGTTTATGACTGTATACCTTTGTAAAAAACAAAGGCTGATTGGGACTTCTGGTCCTATCCTCTCCAGGCACGAACACGATGGTCATCTGCTTCAAGAGTGAAGCGGGATTCATCGCTGAGCACTATACGATGCCAGTCTGATGGCAGCCATGATGATCGGCTTCGACACCACTCCAGACGACTCCGCCGATGTTGTGGAGTCAAAGGCAAACGTCTTAAAGGCCTCTATGAGCGTAACCGCCTCAGAAAAGCGGCGTGAGATGGTGGACGATATTAGGGGAGGTATAGACGTGGTTGTAGTGCGTTTAATAATCAACAATGATACCGTTGGGGCTGTTGGGGATCTGGTGAACAATCATCCTATCTTGCCTCGCATTTGTGCTCCTTGGCCTTCCAGAGCCTTTATTTCGTCGGCAATTTCCTTGTAGCAACCATTGCTGCCAACATCTTTGCTCAGCAGTGTCTGTACACTGCAGGTGGCGGCCTATTGCTCAGTATGACCAGTCAGCTTCACGTAACCCTACACATTCGACCACATTCGAAGTCATTTAGCTGTCTGTAAGGACTTCGATATCGTCGTAATGGCATCTTTAGTTGCTTCTTTACGGAATTACAATGGAAACAACAATAAAAAAAAGATAAATTTTCCGCCTCTGTTACTGGTTTTATATTTTGCGAATCGCGCACCAGAAATGCGCACTAAGATCGCAATTCCTGTTCATTTGCCTTGAAACTTTGATCCTTTGCATTGTTCGATCAAATTGTTTTTGCATACCAAATTTCGTCACGATCGCAAAAGTCCTTCTTGGTGGCTTCGATTTTTTTTAGAAAAAGAGTGTATATTTTCAAGAACGATCTTATTCTCTGAGGAGTGGTTTTGCTATAACACTTCTTTTAGCAGTCTAATGGGTTTATCCATCTGACGTTACGTGAGGCCAAAAAAATCTTTTCCGAGAAACAAGCTTGTCTGTCTTTTACCATTGAAGAGATCTTAGCCGAAACATGTGTTGGAACCTGTGTCCCGACTAGCTACGAGGGGTTGCTTTAAATTGAACTGAAGACGTTTTGCTTGAAACTTTGTACCTCGTACGATTTCGCCAAAGAACTGGTTTTCACACAAGTCAGCCTGGAAAACAACAATTGTGGGAAATGTTTCTTTCGACGCCTGACGGTCCTTGTAGATATGACATCGGCTTAACAGTATAGTCCTTTTCAAAACCAGGGAACGTAATAAATTATGTTCTGTCGCCGGAATTCGAACCACAAGAAAACAGAAAGTCGCAGTGCATCTGCTTGGAATTCGTGTTAACCACTTACACCACGAGATCACACACGGAAGAATGCGGTAACTCCTTACATTCTCTGCACCTTAAAGGAGAATGGAAAGAAGCACGGGAGTTCTTCAAGCAGATTCTTCAAGTAGTGACGAAGATGAATTATCGTTCCCCACATTTTAGTGTGGAGGCTACTGTAGATAGATTTTTCGGAGAAAAAACGTGAAAAATCAAATATATCGTGGATGAGATTCGATCCATGGATCTTCACTTGACAAGTGAATGTATTAATCACTTAAACTCGAAAGCACGCTCAGGAGAGTGCAATAATGCCTTACAGCAGTATGTTAACTAAGAAATGTTTAAAATAAGGTTGTTAACAGTAGAAATGTTTTGAGAACAAAACTAATAATCATACTATGATAGACAAAATATTTTTTATATCTTATATCTTCTACTTTGAAATTTTCTTCCAAGTATCAGGGTAACCAAAATCAAAGATTTCTAGTTGATTTAATCAAAGATTTCTAGAGTACAAAAATATAAAAAGCTAGAAATCTTATATTTTTGTACTCTACTTTTACTGTAAACTTTTGTATTCTACTTTTACTGTAGTTTTACTTTTGTATTCTACTTTTATCTGTATTTTACTTCGCTTTTAAAATTTGTAAGCTTTGAAATGTTTTTCAAAAAAAAAAAAAAAAAAAAAAAAAAAAAAATACGTTTCTGTTTTTGTAGATGGTCCTGCAAGTAACGTACTGATGGAAGCTAGTTTTGACATACAAGATCAAGAGTACTGTAGACAAGCTTATGAAAGAGAACTGAATATTACCAAAGTTTACCTTTGTGCTGGAACACTTGATGGATCTAAAGATTCTTGTCAGGTGAGTCATATTTAGTATTCTAAACCAATCTTGGAAAGTAACCCCTCTAATGTCTGGTCTCTAATGGCTCGAAGGCATTCGTCGGAAATGATCCTATCTATCGGTTATTAAGCTGTATCATCACCGTGAATACTGCCCAGGTTTTATCACAAAGGTTAGACCGCTACTGCACCTGCGAGAAACGGGTAAGGACACAAACGTATAGCCAAGCTTTACGCGGATCTTGAAGTCACAACTTGGTTTCGAATTACATCCGCTAATTAAATTACTATCCAGGATGAATTTTTCTTATTAATAAGAATGGAAGGAAAATAAGAAAAAACTGATAAATGAAATACAGAGTAATAATTATTGCTCAAAATTTTAAAAGTTTATAATCATAATTCTTTTCTGAAATCATTACTTAGATTTTAAAATTTATATAAAGCGAAAAAAAAAGTAGACCTTTTTTTCCCTACGAAAAGTACTCATGAAAACATTTTATGTCATCGCTGCGAATAGTTATTTAATTTTAAACCAGATTACTGTGACAAATTTTTTGGAGTTGTCGCATGTATTTGTAATGAAACGAAAGTCGATTTAATTTTATTGCATAGAGTTTGCAGTCTTCAATGTTTCAAATGCATGCCTTCATCATGCGTACTGAAGTATGGATATTACATATTTCAGTACGCATGAAGCAGCTAGTTGAAATATGTAGCAGGACGAATGAATGCACTATAGTGATTAAAGAATGCAAACTTTGACTAATTGAAATAAATCTACGTTTTTTCCCTATAAATTCGCTTTTTTTTTTCCTCTGCAAATTGCTGGCATGTATTAAGCCTGGTACCTCTTGTACTTATTCTGTCGCTGGAGGAACTCTGCTTCCGTGGCCCACTTCCTAGTCTGTTGGTTAGCTGCAGCAGTAGCCTGACTCCTGTAAAAAAAAAAAAAAAAAACCGTCGTTGACATTTGATCTTGGAACTTGAAACATTTTCCGTTAATCTCTCAGTTGGCAATTGGAGCTTTCGACATAGATGGAACTTCTGTAATTTTCCTTACTGGTACTGCATTTCTGCCAGGCTGGGATTCCTGCAAAATATATTTTAAAAGAGGTACGTCAGATCCTACATAGCATTTTTTTAATGGTGAGTATTTGCAACCAGCTCTTCCCCCATTTCCTTTCATTAAATAGATAACAGCATCCCTGGTTCGTTCAAATGCATACAGGCCTTCACATTTTGTGCAAAATTTTCCGACATAATCTTTAGTCGCACATGATAAAGAATGCTTGACTTTTAGAACTTTATCTTCCACTTTAAAATTTACCTCCCTTCGTTTTTTGTCATAGTTTTATATTTTTTCTTGCAGCATCCAAATTGCGGATAGCAATGTCCGCCATTTTAAATTCCGGAGCACTCTTTTGAACAAAAAATATTTTATCCAGAGGGATAATCAATTTTCGTCCAAAAAAAATCTGTTGGTGTTTTCCCAGTGGTATCATGTTTAGCAGTCCTTAAAGCAAATGCGAATTCATTGACGCAAGATACCATTTTTAAATGCCGTATGACAAACCCCGAGCATGGTCCCTCTAATATTTAACTAACAAACTATTTTCCGTTGTCTGAAATTACTTTTATTAGAGCTCCATATTTTAAAATGTATTTATTTAGAAAAGAATCTGAAACTATGTTAGAGGAGATTCTTCCGAAAGGAACTGTTTCTACCTACTTTGAAAAACGATCTACAATAACGAGTAAATATCTATTTTTATAGACTTCACTACGTGGGTATGGACCTAAAAAGTCAATTCACGTTAATTCATTAGGGAAAGTGACTTATGCTATTTAGAAATCTGGCCGGGCTTTGATTAGCAATGTTAACTAACTGGGGTTCGGGGCTGTTTAAAATAAACAGCTTCCCAAACTCGCTGCATGGATTTCTTATGCCAGGGTGGCCTGAAATTGGCGAATTAGGAAATTCCTGCAAAATGTTCAACATTAAACTAGCTGAGATAACCGGTCTAATTCATTGTCGTCGTTAGTTGCTTTTGCATGAAATAAGAGATTGTCAATGATTTCATAGTTCGCGGTTCTGTTCCTGATAATCGTTATTTCCTGATTTTCGAAATGATCAGCATCTTGTTGATAAGCATTAATGTTTCTAAATTTGAAGTCCCTTTGTAATTCAGAAACGATAGTTTCACGAAAATCAAAAATTTTAGATATTAGCATAGCACATTTGAGTTTGTTCCTCTCCTCATCTAATTTTAATCTTGATAAAGCGTCAGCCACTTCTGTGGCGTGTTTTATGAGTAGGTTAAACTCTTGTAATATAAGAGCCCATCTAATAAGTCTTGGCGTTGAATTACTTTTCCTTTTTTTCTGAATACAAAGAGACGCGGATCTGAATAAAAGGTAACCGGTGTTTTCCCAAAATACGCTCGAAACGTTTGAACCGCTAACACAACTGCTGGGGTTTACCTTTCTGTAGCCGTATAATTCCTCTGTGTAGGATTATAGGTTTTAGTGAAATAAGCAACCGACTGTCCATTTTGAGTCAGCATGACGCCAAACGCGTAATCTGAGGCATCCGCTGCGATCTGTAAATTCTCATCGCCTTCAGAGAATTTCAATACTGACGCTTGAATTAACGCTTGTTTAAGTTGTTCGAACGCTGTATTTGCTTCTGCCGTCCAAGTAAGTCTGGCTTTCTTTCTTTTTAATTTGAACAGTGACTCAGTTATCTTCGCAAAATGTTTCTTAAAAATGAAAGTCCGATAATAAGGGCACATGCCTAAAAATGAGGGCAATGTTTTCGGTGTATTTTGGTAGACGGTAATTTTTTATTGCAATTATTTTTTAATCTTCTGTTTTAACTTTTGCGAAATCTTATAACCCATTTAACGAATTTCCTTGGCAACGAACTTACATTTCGAAGCATTTATTTATAATCCTCATCTAGAAGGTTAAACACTTTCGAGCAAATCCTTAATATATCCATCTATAGTCTCACTAATTATGATTATAGCATCTAGATGAATAAAAGTACTTTTACCGAGGACAGATCGTAATATCAAGTCCATGGCCGTCTGAAACGTAGCGGAAGCTCTGCGTAAGCCAAATGACATTCTTAAAAAGGCATAAAGGCCTAACTTTATGATAAATGCAGTTTTCAGATATCTTCTGGCTTTACCCAGCTTCTGGCTTACCCAGGCATAAAGGCCTAACTTTATGATAAATGCAGTTTTCAGATATCTTCTGGCTTTACCCAGCTTCTGGCTTACCCAGGCATAAAGGCCTAACTTTATGATAAATGCAGTTTTCAGATATCTTCTGGCTTTACCCAGATTTGAAAATATCCTGAAGTAAGATTTAACATAGATTTGATATTCCTAATAATTTCTTCTATTATAGGCATTGGTTTGAGAGGATATTTAGTAATATTATTTAGTTTCCTATAATCAACTGCGAATCGCCACGCTTTATGATCCATAGGTGGGAGATTATTCTTCTCTCGGCATAGTACTACTAGGCTAGCTTAGTCTATGGGAATTGTTATTTTATTCTTTATCATGTCTTGTATGTGTTGTTTGATAATTTGTTCTTTAATTATTTTTTCATGATAATAATGCTTTGCTCTTACAGAGACAGCATTTCCGGTGTCGATGTTGTGGCTTACAATTTGAGTGTGGCATGCATCTCATCAAATAATTTAAAATATTACTTACCAACTGTTACAATTTACTTTTGTCTTCAGCTGGTAGGTACTTTAGCTCAATTTTTGGGAGATGTGCTTCTTCTTCTTCCACATCCTTGATCTCCAGCTGCAGAGTAGCCCCCTAAAAATTTATTATTTAATTAATTCTCTAAAGATCCATCCTTAGAGCTACTCGTGCTTAGAGATTTTTTACAACGAAAAACACTACTTTTTGCTGCCTGTTCTTTATGTACCCGTGTAACATGACTTACTCATATACATTGCTTGCCTTGGGCGAAAGTAATTTTTGTTCCCGCAACCCAAACATTCGATATTTTCTGAAGTATTTAAAAAACATTTTTCTGCTAGGAAACTGCATTGAGCCTCACTGTCTAATAGTGTATCTACTGGAACTTTATTTAACAATATTTGTATTGCAGGCAGAGCCAAATTTTTTATTACCTGCATTTAGCTGAATCCTAAAAGGATTTTCCTGCCTCCGAGTAACTACACCGTGTTATTTTCGGTACCCCTGATTAGTTTGCTCCTTCCCCATTTCCTCTTTTGCCCTTTCTCTTGGTGATATCCACTCGCGGTTGAAAAATTTTGTCTGTTTTAAAAATGTTTATTTCCATCAAACTGTGGCCAACCTTGTGGGTTAGGTCTATAAAATTTTCCATTCGACATCTGGCTATATCCTGTTGTACGCGTACCTTCAGCAACCCTCCTGCTTTCGAACTTTACCGTGAGCCCAAACAAACTCTCGAGCATGCTCTCATTTCTTGCTGTAGCAACCTAAGGAAAATAACTTAAATTACCTGTGTACCGGGCTTTTCCTTTCCCATATAACAAACTAAATAGATTATTAACACGTTCCCTGCCAGATCGTTTTTTTTTTGAAGATTTCCCGTTCAGGCCGCGTGGGGCGTATGCGCCCCATGCTTTACATTTGTATTATTTTGTTTCTGGCGTATGTCTTACAATAATTAAAATAGCGCAAAAATCATAATTATCAAGGAAAGGTTGTATAGTTTAACATGCATAACACAACAAACCAATAAATTTTTCTAGGAATTAGTTTAACAAATACCTGGCTGAACATTACTATGCCAAGCAAGTTGCATCCTCACATATAATTTTTTTTTATCGTACGTATATCAGTTTTAAATATAACATTTTAAGTTAAATTCAAGTTTGTATGCAATTACAAAGGGATGTTACGATTGAACTTTTATTAAAACATGGCAAACCATAAGTGTGGTTTATCCACACAACTATCGCAGAATGTCGCAACTTTTACAGTACAGTTTCCTGCCGATTGGGAACCCAAATTTTTAACATTTCTTTCGTAACAAATTTTACAGCGCCTTCTTATCGAATTAAAGTGTCCTTTCTCGTCGTCAGAATCATCACTAGAAAAACTGTTGCTGTGTGATGCCATATCTGCTTATAAGGAGTAATTATTGTAAAATTTGGAAAAGGTCTGAAGAAGAAAAGGCGGGAAAAATTGCAACCATTTTTAAATGCAATTAAAATTTTTAAATTATAACACTTAAATAATATGTACGTACCGTATTTCCTTCGTCTAACACACTGAAGAAACACACTGAACTATAAATCAATCCCAGCTTCAGTGAAGCAGTAAGTAGTGTATCAACGACACGCGAATAAATGACTGATCGAAATACGAGGAACAGTTGAAACAAGTTACGGAGAAAAAAAATTACCCATCATGCCGCGTGGGGCGTACACGCCCCACGATTAAATGAGGGCATCAGCAGTAGTATTAAGATACCCATAATTAACTGCATAATGAATTTTTAAAAAAATTCTACATTTTTACAATGATACTACCAAATGGCTTGAACGGAAAGTTTAGCGTGGGGCGCATACGCCCCACGCGGCAGGAAACGTGTTAAATTTTCTTTAGTATGAACTCGGTCAATTCTTCGACTTTCAACTGGTATTTACTGAAAACTTAGGCTTCTTACTTGGCCCTATCTATTACTACGGAGAATGCTTTTGCTAGGGCGTTTTTGGATCTGTCGAAGCTGTAGGTGTGACTTTTTGGCTCATTAAACAGCAATTTCCAGATGCATTTGCACCAATTCAAAGCCTGTCTTCTTAATACGGTAAATGCTATCGTAACTCTTTGAACTTATGGTACCGGATAAAGTAGAAAATACGAATTTAAATGCTCAAGAAAAATATTTACCGAACTTTTTTTTTTTCAAAAGTTACTGCAGGTTTCATTGATGTCCGCATAGTGTTCTCAGTAAAGCCAAATCCCTTCATGGGACTAACCGATGCTGGTTGGCCTTGCAACCTTGGGGAAGGGCAGATTAAAAATTTAACTTCCTTGCGACATGGTTTGCTATATGTTCCGGCACCAATATAAAGGCTTTCACTTCTGTAAACTGTGACCAAACCTGATAGACGTAAAGCGACGTATCGCTAAGTCTAAAAGTAAGTAGATAAATTTGAGTACATGAAGACCCTTTTATTTTAAACGAAAATAAACTAGTGCTTCTAAATCCGCCAGCATTTATGGCAACAATTCAATGTATAAATACAAATGTAAAGCTAAATTTAAATATCTGATAGCCAAAGGCTTACCGAGTAGTGAAGTTGGCTCTGAATTCTGCGGCCTGAATTTAAACTACCAGCAAGAATAATGGATTTCGAAGACAGGAACTCTTATCTTAGGATATCAAACCTAGTAGAGACATTAGCTTATTTCTAAGCAGGAGACACGAAAAATGAACAATACCCTCCCCGATACTCGATTCTCGGACTTCTCGAATACGCGCCGAGTGTGCTGACCATTACACCACGAATTCGTGCTAAGAAGGTAGAAGAAATACCTTATTACGTGGCCTTTAAGAAGCAGAACACGTTCTGCCTTATTAATTTCGAACCCTCACTTAAATACACGCGAATTAATTTGCATTCTGGCAGAAAACGGAAAAAGAGAAGCGACAGTAAAAACTGCAAACATAAAATAACTTGCTCTTTAAATTAAATAAGCCTCATGCAGCATTGCTGCTTTCACTTCGGCTGGTGTTATAAGATCATTCAATTCTTCGTTCGTTACTTCTTGATTAATTCTTTGACTTCTCCATGAATGGAAAATTTTTCGCTGCCAGTTGCTTTTGCAATTTAAAATTGCCGTAATTTCTGGCCGGAACTGATGCTAGCAAGAATTCAGTGTTGATGAACGAACATTGAATCACACATGAATGAAACTCTAGTATTGGGCGAATTAAATGGAAACTTAGGATAACAAGTATGCTTGCATGCGAAATCACGATCTGTCAGGTTCGGCAGAGGCGGGGATGGATTAAGTATTAAGCAATATACAGGGTGGCAATTATTGAGCTATATGAAACAAAATATCAAATTTTCAAAAACTATTCAGTTCAAAAACATTATTCAGATTTGAAAACCAACTACAGGTTTTTGGATTCAGTTTATGACATATTCTATATGCTTACCGTTAATGTCTATTTCAAAGACCGAAATTCTGCAAAACTCGCGGAAGTTTCGAGGAATTAATGCTTTTGATGCCCTCCTAAATGACTGTTTTGATCTCAGCGATATTTTGGGGGTTATTTGAGTAAACTTTGTCTTTGATATTGCCCCACAAACGTCGAGATCAGGAGAATATAGCGGCCAAGCGAGTGGTCTTTGGGCACCCCAAAAGCCAGAATGCGCTATCCAAATTGCTCTAGCTGTACTTCAAATACTTTATTGGTCCGATGCGTTCGTGCCCCGTCCTGCAGGAATCACATCTTTTCGAAATCTGGGTCACCTTGGTTAAGAGGGATAACATCATTTTCAAAAGTTTTGACACTGTGCCTACAGTGAATATCACCGTGTCTGCAATGAATATCGTATAGATTATTCCACGACTTAACACTGCAAACGAAACAGTTACCTGTTTGGAATGGTGAGACATTTAGATCTTGAAATGGAAATTTTCAGTCCACCAAATGCGGCACTTCTGCTTATTGACGTACCTATCCAAATGAAAGTGTGCTTCGTGCTAAACCAAACTATCAAACTATATTCATATCAAATTCGTGTTTTTCAGTCATATCGATAATAGTGTTGGCGAAACACAAACGTTGTTTACTGGAAATGGCGCTTATTAGTTGATGAATTCGAATTTTGAACGGAAAGAGCTGCAAGGTCTTGAACAATCTGTTTCAAAGTCTCTCTGTTGATTACGACGTGTTGCGAAGCTCGTCTGTTCGAAATCCTTGGTCAATTTTGAAACGCAATTCAAGTTTCCTCGATATTTTCAGGCGTTTTCAAGCTTGCTAGATGGCAAGATTTCCAATACTGTTATCACAAACATTACTAATTTTCTCCAACTTTATAATCAGATTTTTGATTTTTATAACACTTGGAATGCTTGTCTTCAGCTTGTACTCTATCGCAAATTCTTTTTGAGTCGTAATCGGGCTGTTATTGTTTGAATATTAGGCCTTGACGATAAATTTTCACTCAGAAACTCGATATTTTCAGCGAAAAATGAACAGCAACAATATGAATGCGCATTCTCGAACACACTCTCAACATATCCTACATTCAACAGCAAAGTTTTAACTGAATTTTGCAAATGATTCAAAAGTTATCAATTGAATTTTTTTCATATAGCTCAATAATTGCCACATTGTAAGTACTTGCTTAAAGCATCATGGAAAGGTGGTATCATAAAAAATTTCCTTAGGTATTTAGGAATGTGAGCACCAAAACTTTTATCATTGTCGTTTTTACCATGGAATGCATGATGTAGCTAAACGCAGAACCGAGAGAGAGAGAGAGAAAAGAGGTGAAGAAAAATAACTGACGTAAACGTATGGGGGGCACCAAAATATTCAGCACTTAGGGCCTCTAAAAGTCTTAATCCGGCTCTGGGCAAGGATCTACTGTAGATGTAAGGTAGTGCTACGCTGGCGACATGAAATCATATTTCACTTGTTTGTGTTTAATTTCTATTAAAAAAAGATAAGATCTTCATTCATATTTTGCTTTGAAATTTACGAAGAGTTTAATACCTCAGAGCAGAGCTTCCTAAACTTTTTTCAGTCGGGACCCTTTTTTTATCACTGAGACATTTTTTGCGATACCTGAACCTCATTATTTATGAGAATTTTGTGGGACCCCATAAGCATTGCACAAATTCGACACAAGCGTGATTGAAACCGTCAATTTTTCACTTGTACTGTAACATAATGTTACATTCTTAGGTCATTAACTTTAATTTCTAATTTTAAGACAGAACAATGTGAAATTTTAAATAAATAACAGACCAAATGACAGCGTCACGTGTAAAGCAAGTAAAATAAGCGTTTATATTATAAAACGAATGCGTCAAACGTTTTCGTTTTTTCTTTGTCTGTATTGTCTTATCTTTATCTATTTTCAGATACATTGTGTAAAAATATTTGGTAATTGTAAAATTATTATAATAAGTTAAAGAAATATCATAACTGCTAAATTTTTTGGCGACCCACAGTTTAAGAAACTCTGCCTTAGAGAGGTCGTTTTGTCTGAAGTGATCATTTAGATGGTACTGAAAAATAAGCATTTTTAGATAAAATAGAAATACTCATTCTTTTCAAAAGAGTAAAACATGAAATAAAAAAGCTTATATAAAATAACTGCATATTTTTGAAGTAATTAAAACTATCACAATTTTATAAATATCATAAATTTAATATATAAATATCTTTACTTAGAAAATTTTTAAAAATGTTGCAGCTCAATGCGCAAAATTCTTGACCACTAAGGTCTCTCTAATTCATGTTGTCTTGCTACTTTCGTATATATCACATACACACACACACACACCACACACACATATATATATATATATATAATATAATATATATATATATATATATATAGATATATATATATATAGTATACATATATATATATCAGTTTTCTCCAGATAAATACTCATTAAATCTGTCTTTCTTTTTAAGACTTTAACTTTTATACTGAATGTTATTTTGAATATGATTTCACTCATTCGAAAATAAATTTCTATTTTAGGGTGATTCCGGTGGACCTTTAACAACAGTTGGAAAAGGATCCCGATTTTATCTCGTCGGTATTGTGTCTTTTGGGAAGTTATGTGCTCAGCCTGGTTACCCAGGAGTTTATACCAGAGTCACTGAGTTTCTAAGCTGGCTTGCTCAAAATCTCTCTAACTGATATTCTGAAGGAATAAGTACATAGACACTAATTTAATTCATTTATCAAACCAACAAACTATTTTTGGTAATACTTCTGAAAATAGAAGGAAAGACTGTATTTCCTTTTCCGATAAGACTTGAAAGTGCAAATGATATATGATGAATTTATGCCACTATTATCTTTTTTAGTTTGAAAAATACGTTGGTGAGATTCACGTTATAGTGGCATTCTTCAATGTGAACGTTTGCTCAAAATATTTTAAAGGATATTTGCTACCTCGACGTTAGAATATCACTGCATGCATGAATATACCATGAAATGTTAAAAGACAGTATTTTTAATTTTTTTAAATAAATATGCAAAACATTGTTTATTGCTCAGACTTTGAATTAGCGAATGCTAAATAAGCTGAACGTAGCTCATCAGTTAGGTATTCTATGGTGGCATTAATTTTGTTTTTAGTACTTACTTTTCAGACACTGAAATGCCATCTTTCAATGATAGTTGACATTTATTATTGCTTGTAGCTGAAAGGAACTTAATTTTATCTATGTTACCCATTTTTCCTATGGAAAACCAATTAGCAGTCAAAAATATATATCTGTTAATTAAAGTTTAAAGTTTAAAGAGAAGGTCATGGGTTTAAGCTTTAAAATGGCTCAATTCATTCAAAAATGTTTCATACACATATCAGAACCTTTATTATTTTTAATGAACAATTAAGAATGATTTTCTTAAGTGAAATTATTGATAAGTTATTAGAATTATTTTTTAGACTTACGAAAAATGTTAAAAAGCGAAAACTTACTGTTAGGTCAATAGGAAATACCCAATTCATCTACGAGAGTATTTCTTCTTCCACACCAGTTAAAGATAAAAATAAAATAATTATCTTACATTTAGATAAATTCATTGGATTGAAAATGCATAAATTGATATAATTTTGTTGCAACTGACAATAAAAGTTTTATTTATGTAGCTGTTTTGTTTGATTTCATTAAAATTTATTAAAACAGAAGAGTAGGTACACTGCGCCACCTTCTGGCGGTTCTATGAAACGTTATTTTCCATCTTCATTCTACTAACAACACATCTTCACATTTCATTTATCGATCGAAAATACCGTCTGCAGTGCTTGGTGCATAGTAGTTCCTATTTCACTGCTAACCGAACTGAGGCACTTGCATCCAAACAAAAACTGCCACGGTAAATCATTTCATCAAAAATTTTCGAAGCACCAGTTCGCTGTTCAGATAAAAGAGAGGTTTGTAAAATACTTCATTTTTTTATGCTTATAATTTAAATTCAGCTGCAAATTCACTTTAAACTTTCAGTTTTGTAGAATGAATTCATTTACATTAATCAACTGATTGCTGGATATTCATTGTATTAAATCATCTCAAATAAGACTTTTGAAAGGCGTAGCAGGAAACCGGTTATTTTTGGTAAAGGACGGATGTTATATTTTCGCTCGAGAAATTAAATATGATGCGTTATTTTTGATAAAAGAAGGACTGATTATGGATTTTTAAAGAAAATCTGTTCCTTACTATCTCGCTAATTATATCTACAAAATAAAACCTCTGTTACTAATATGCATGAAATTTATGTATGAGAATTTTCTGTTCACGGTTATGCTCCCGATTTTATTATTATAATTGCCTTTTGTATATATCGAGTTTTCTCATTATCACGATAAGCATGGTATGGAAGAATTCAACTTGTTTTATAACCATATGCGTTACAAGGGAAGTGAAGGAATCCCTAATAAAAAATTAGATATTAACGGAGAATGAACAAAGCATACATCTGGAAGTGATTTTTAAATAATTTTGATAGTTGCATCAACAACTTATATAAGACATACATGTAATATATATGTAAAAAAACAAATGCAGTAAAAAGTGGAAAACTGTTTTTTAACCGTCACAAAATATTCTTAGTCACAGCGACTAAAACTAAAATTACGGAACTGCTAACCATGACATATTTTTAATCAAAATTAATCTTTCACTGTAAGTAATAAAAGATATGTTTGTATGCAAGTATGCTTGTTCCTCTCATTGTGATAAACCGACGGCACCCACAGCCACCAAATTTGAATATACATAGTCCTCCCCCGAACATGTGCACTTCAAAGTTCGAAAGTGAATCAACGCAAAATCGTGTTCCGCTTTTAAAGCCTTTTGCGCTAATAAAGAAAGAAAATCACAGTATATGATCATATAAAAAATTATTATATCTACTCAGCACAGAAATGAAATACGGGATGTCTTCTTCATTTCAAGATCTTTTATTCTGTCTACAGTATAAGATTTAATTTACTTCATTTAAATTTCTATTAAAAACCTTTGATTTAAGAATTTGTCATTGCTAGCAGATACGATTGTTAGAAGTCCACCGATTGACTTTGGTAATGTTCTCAAAATTCAGCAAATTACGGAGAATATTCTGAAAAATCGCATTAGTATTAAATAAAAATAATAATTTTCGAAATTTGGGTGAAAAATATCTCTGTGAAATATGTACGAATGAAAAATTTCATAAAACTAGTTCGATAAACAAAGATCTAAAATTAATTTCAAAATTTGAGCTATACAAACAAACAAGAAAACGGTTTAAATAAAATCATATAAAACAAATTATAACCCCCCAAGAAAAACTAAAAGGTTTTTAGATTTTATATTCCACCCAAACGCGCGTTTTCAATATTTACACATACATACACGTTTCGAGAGCAGTTGGGCTAAAGCCCCTTTAAGCTAAAAATATTTAAAAACAGCATACCTTTAGAATTTTTGATAGACACTCTCGTGGGCTGGACATAAAAATATTTTATTCCGTACTATGTTGCCACTGCTGAATTTGAAATCGTTGAGATTTTTAATCAGATATTAACGGTAAATATTCAATTCGTTAAAGTTTTACAAAATACGAAATACACAATAAAACAAATTCAAAATTCGGGCTTCCGGGTGCCCATATTCGGTTTGAGATCTATGTTATTCAAAATGCGATGTCTCTAGGTACCGTTGTTTTTTCACAGTGAGAGAAACATACACGCATTCATGCAGATTCTTCATTATTTAAATCTTTTTAATATAGTACAGGACGATAATATTTGGTACCAACAATTTGAAAATGCTTCAACGCTTTTAGTAGTGATTCGACGGAAAATGTCGTTGCGAGACTAGCAGCCCTTCTGGGTTAACGCCCCTAATAACGAAAAAATTTAAAACTGATCTAAAGTGATGAAATTATTTATATATATATATTGCATGTTAATTTACGTATATATGTATATTCATTTATATAATTAATAAATATTCATATATATGGACTTTTAAAAAAAAATGGGCGAAAATAAAAGCAGCTTTATTTGAAAATAGATCATTACTGGCGATAATGACGATTTGAATGCAGAAACTGACTAAACATAATTAAAGTATGAATAAATTTACTTACTGGTAAATTTGACTCATGTGTTTTCGAATTTATAATATGCAATTTAGTTTTATTCCTTAATGCATTCAATTGCAGGGGAAAATAAATAAAATTTGAACGCTTTCAGATTTTATATTAGGCCCAAAGGGGCGTTTTATACATTTACACATACAGACACGTTTCGAGAGCGTTTGGTCTGAAATTATTTAAAAACATCATACATTTATAATTTTTGATAGACAAGTCTCGTGGGCTGGATATAAAAATATTTTATTCCGTACAGTTTGTTTCCACTGCTCGCTTTGAAATCAGTGAGTTTGTTAATCAAAAATCCGTTAAAGTTTAAAAGATATGAAATAGGTAATATAAAAAATTCAAAATTCTGGCTTCCAACTACTCATATTCGGGTGGGGGACTACGTTATTCAGAATTTAATGGCTGTCGATACTGTTGCTTTTTCCCATTGCGAGAAGCATACACACGTTCATGCAGATTCTTCATTATTTAATTCTTTAAATATAATACAGGGCGATAATATTTGGTGACAACAATTTAAAAAGTGAAACATCGCTTTTAGTGATTCAACGCAAAATGCCATTTCAAGACTAATAGACCTTCTGGGCTAGCACCCCTTTGGGCTATGATAAAATATAATTAAAGTGCGAATAAATTTACTTACCAATAAATTTGGCTCATGCAATGAGTTTTCGAGTTTATAACATGCAATTTTTTTCCTTCTTTAATCCATTCAGTAGCAGGGAAAAAAATTCGGCATTAGGCCATTTTAGTTCGACAGCCCTAGATTATCGGACTTTTGCTGCATTTGCTTCCCGGTAAACTGTACCTTACATCTTGGAGCTTTCCAATTTCCAACTGAAAAGCATAGTCATTATAATATTTGCCTTATTTCACTCTACAGATAACAAAATGGAAACCAGAAAGTAATAAGATAACTTCACTCAAGGTCTAATAAACGAGAATTAAATGTGAAATTTGTGGACGAAGAATTTGATATTTCTCACGGCATGATACCGTGGGAATGGGCTTTTTTTCACAATATCAAATGCAACTGTTTGAAAAACTGGTTATTGTCATACATTAATAGTAAAATCTAGCGATAATCGCTAAATCTAGGTAGATCATCACACTGTAAAAGCGACTGTAAGCTAAAGATTCGCATAAAATTGGATTTTTTGCATTGCACTTGCCATGCTTTTTCTCTTTAACCTTGTTAATTGCCTAACTGTATATAATGGCTCAAAAATCATAAACACTGGAAAGTAAGAAATTGATCAAGCTATATTTTATTGATGAAAATTTGGACATTACCTAATGTGGCGAGAGAATGAGGCTCGACATCACTCCCTGATCATAAACTTCGAGACTTTGAGATGTTTTTATCTCAGGATGACTTCTGCTGGATGAATATATATAACTTGGTACTAGAAGCCAATACCGTAACCGGTTTACGCTATTGTAATAATATTATCTTGTTTCAGGCATGTTTGTTCAAAAGCGCTATTGGCTCAAAATTTTGCTTTACGAAAGGTAATGCGATTACTGTACCGACCGAAGATGGGCAGAACCTTTTTTCTATGGGATCGGATCAGAACCGTTCGCTAACTGAACTGAGTTAGTTCCTTGTACGGCTCACCGCTCACTAACAATAGCCTTGATGAAAAGCATGGGGACGAGTAGTGAATCAAGAACAGCAAGTGAGGATGGAGCCAAAAGCGGCAAGAATCGAAAGAACGGTGGAATCGGAAACGGTTAGCTGTGGGTTAGGAAGACTCCACTCAATCGAATGCTAATTCTCAGAACTGATTTCTTTCAACCATTATTTTGAGATTCTCCAAAACTTCCTTTCAACATAGAACTAACGATAGTCTAGAATAATGTATGGAATAACGAAAGTTTGGAATACACAAATTTTCGAAAAGATGGGAAATATTAAAAATTAAGTTCACATTTGACATGGCATAACAAACAATCTTTTCTTCCCTAAAATGAGAATCAAACTTTCCTGGCATGATTCTAGCATGGGCTCTCGGTGGGTGAATTCTAAAAGAGACCCACTCTTTTTACAAAATCAAGAGTTCACTTTCTCAGTAAAGTAAATCACTTTGTGAATGAATAGCACATCCTTATTCTTGGAACTGCCAATAAGAGCTCTCCGTGAACTTCAAAGGAGCTACCACTCCGTTCTTTGGAATTAAAGTTTAATTGCTCAACAAAGTGATTCGGATCTTTGAATCAGTTCCGGAGCAAATCGCCCATCTCTACCGACTGCTGTTCTTGGAAAGCTAAGAGTTTATTCAAAAGGATTGGCTGGTTTTTTCCCCTAATTTAAATCCTCTTATATCATTCTTAGCAGATTTCTTGCGGTACATTCACTCCCACTAGCAACTGTAATGGAAAACGATATTATATTGTGTTATCTTAAAACAGCACTTCAAAGCCATTGCCCCCCTCCCCACTTACGATCGTAAAGTGTGTCGTCATCACTATCACCTCCAACTCATTTGAGACTGTAATTTAAGTCAGGCTTCATTTGTTAACTTTTCGTGATGCTAAACACGCTAAACGGAAATGAATTGGAGGGAAAACATTAGGCCGATCATCAGCTGCAGACGTCGTTGTTCTGGTTACAAGGCAAGTCTGACGGAGGAAAATAACCTTGAAATTATTATTTTAATGTAACAAACTTATGACAGACGAATGAAAAACGTTACATTAGAATCTATCAGTGGCCTCATGTGGTGTAGGAATACGCAGTAGAGTATGGAATTTTGTATTCTTCATTATTATTATGCTATTTTCAGTTTGTTTCTCGAGTTACCTTTTTCCCTGTCTAGGCCATTATGTTTCTAACCTGTAGAAAGAAGCATCTTGTTTTCAGCTTCAAGTCTGAAAGTGAATGTTACATGCCAGTGTGTTTCATTAAAATAATCATATCAAGGTTGAATTATTTTTAACTACATTCCATTAATCAATAAGAACAATCAAAAGATACATCGGAATAAAAGTACTTTGTACAAAATACAATTTTCATATAAAAAGTTAACTCATGGACAAAGTTGGGTGACTATACAAGGGAAAGGACCTGAAGGTAGGTGTGGCTATACAATAGGAAAATTATACCAATACGGAGTGTTGCGATATCTTACAGAAATGCAGGTTCAGTAATCAAATGCCTTGCAGTTTAATACGATATAAAACTTCCCATTAAAAAATCGTCATTAGATTAAAACATGTAAATCATTCTTTATATATATATATTATCTGGCTAAAAGTATCCGGACACTCAGTGATACGGAATCGGAGAGTTCTGAGTCTTATATTAGTACGTTGCTAGTCACCCTTTTGCATTCAAGACAGCCTGCACTCATCTAAGAGACTTTCCACCAGTTTTTGATAGGTGGGCATAGGAATTGACTTCCAGGCGAAAGCTGAAGTGAGTGCTGGCAGTGAGGATGGTTGATTTGGCTGGCTAAGTAATCTGCTTTCTAATTCGTCCCAAAGGTATTCTATGAGATTTAGATCGGTGATTTGTGAGGGCCAGTCCAGTTTTTTAACACTCATCTCGTCAAATCATGGTTGCGCAAGCCTCGATGTGTGAATGGAGCAGTTATCCTCCTGAAAGAGAAATCGGCCTTCCCCGAAATATTGCCACAGAGTTGGGAGAGCAGCTCCAGAATGTTCGCATACATGTCAGGTTCCTTTTTGCAACCACAGAAACTAAACGACCCAGGTCAAATCATGAAAAACACCCCCACACCATCATGCTGCCACTATCAAACTGTGCAGTCGGCACACAAAGCAATCACTTCAGAAGCGCTCGCCGGGCATCTGCCAAACCTACAGTCCATAATATTCACAGTTAAATTATTAGAGTTTTGTACCATTGCAACCGACGCTTAGCCTTCTGGCGAGTGATGTTCGGCTTGCGAGCGGCTACACGTCTATGGAATCCCATGTTTTAAACTCTAAGCACTATTGCCTGATACGCTTTGGAACTCCTGAGTGATTTCAGCTAACAATTACTTGTGATTTAGAACATTGATGGATTTTTCTAGTGTTGTCAACGCCTCACCACACACCACTTGCTATCACATAATGATTTTAAAAATCCCTAAACGAACTTACCATTTAAGGAGAGAAGAAAGGGCGTGACACTTTGGTCCGTTTTCTTTCCTCTTTCTTTTCAGTATGCAACATGGAAATGAAGATCGCTTTGAATAGGGAGAAGAAAACATCTCATATATCTTTCCTATCTCTTTTAAAATGGTATCATTGATTTTTGAGATAGAGAACAATTATTTTGCGAAAGTAATTTAAGAATTTTTGTGGTTTTTAATTAATGAACGTGAATTTTTAATTAATGAAAGATTCCAAGGAAAACATGTCAAAAAAGTCTCCAAAAATGCAGGAATTGTAAAAGAATATGGCATATCTTCATGAATTTAATTCTAAAACAATTTATTAAAAATTTAAATCAGAAGAATTAAGTTTTAAAAGGATGATTTAGCATGAATTATTTAAATTTAATTCAGGAAATAAATTAATGGATTTAATTATAAACATTTAGTAAAGCTATAAATTTATAACATTACGTTGTTAATAGCCATCATGTTGTTGCCCGTTTTCTAAATCAACATAATTTTGAAAAAAAGATGTTCCCGTTTAAAAAGTTTTTTTTATTTGCGAACTTTTGAAAACTTCGGAACTTTAATTTGAGTCCTATGGAAATTTCGTTATTAGGAAACGTGTTCTGCTTTGCCCCTTTTTAAGTCTCTAATGCTGTAAAGGGTGTTTTTCTGCTCAGCAGATCTGTTTGAAAAAAGATACCACTAAGTGAAAATGCCGTTAATGACGACATCTTTGTTTTTATTAAAAATTTGCTTTTCATTTTAATCAAAAAATACTCTACCCATTTAAATTTCATATATATATACGGGAAATTTACACACATATATATGCGTTCCTGCGTAAGATTATAAAAATATGTAAGGCAAAATATTAACTTTAATTTGCAATAGTTCCTTAGCTCCCGCTTTTAATTGGTTATTTTCGCTTTCTTTCCCGCCTGTAATAAATCTCTCTAAACTAAGTCATTGAATTAATATTAATCCTCCTCGAATCATTTTTAAATGATGCCAACGACGCAGACATTCCTACAAACCTCAGTAAATAATAATTTTAAATTTTGGGAATCGAAAATTTTAGCTTCCATTACGGATAAAACTGAAGCAAAACTAAATTATTCTGAACCGAGTTTTCAGCATGGACACGTCTCATTCCTCTTTCCGCTTGTCTGTCTTGTCAGCTGACTGTCCACTGCTACACTTCTTTCCTCAGATACTAGTATCTGTAAGAAATCGAATGAGGTTTAAATTGAAATGACTTACCAACATACCTATTTCCTGTCCAACGTTCAACCCTTGTTTACAGTCCCCAATGATCTGTCTCTCATAACTTTTTTGATGTGCTAATATCCTCGAGCGCGTTTAATTTTCGTCGAGCGCACAGAGAAAACTAAAGTTTTTGGCTGCTTAGTGTTGATATTTACTCGTCGAGAGCTCAGAGGGAACTAGAATTTTTTGACTACTCAGTTTTCCCTCTTATTATTTTTTGACTACTCAGTCGAGAGTTCAGAGAGAACTAGAATTTTTTGAATACTCAGAGTGTTTTTGATTCTCTCATTTTCGAAAACATTACTTGCAAATATAAAAAATGGATTAATTGGGTATATCCATTCCATACACATTTTTTTTCTCTTCGCCTTCAATTTGTCTTCGCCACTACTTTTTCTTTCCGCCTTTTTGAATCATATTAACCGAGATGCTTATGCTAACCCTGGATATAACATGTAAAATAAACAATATCTAAGTAGGCAACTTATGCCTTAAAGCTCATTCACCTTATAACATCTTAAAACTAATGTCAAAACAGCTCAATAAACGCGAGTCATAAAATTCAATCATAATAATAAGACTTAAAACATCCTGTTTATCGTGTAAATTGAAGTTAAAGTATTCACAATTTTAAAAATATCAAAATAACATCATACCTGTTTCCAAAAATGAAATTCTTAAAATTTGGATACCATTTCAAAATTGTTTTTTAAATCGTTGCCATCCTCAGCTTCGAAACAAAGTATAGTTAAATATTTTGAAATTTTCCAGTGTTCTCAAATATTGCGGTAGAATTTTTATGTATTGACAGTTTGTATGAACTTCGTGAATAGACGGTCTACAAGAATAAAAAAAGGAACCCTTTTCATTACAACTACAAGAAGTAAAAATTTTATGAGCGAAGCTTTCCGGAGCAAATTTGGATATCTTTATCAATTTAATTCCAAATATAAATAGTATAGCGAATGTAAAAAAGCTGTGCAACATAAACACCCTATAAGCGTAAACAATGATCATGATCAATGTGGACGAACTAGTGCCTTCACGTCACACAATTTTTTTCTCTTCCCCTTTTCTATAAGATTACCAATGTAAAAGATAGGAATGTAACTATGTAAGTAAAGGCTGGTTTAGCTGCGTGTCTATCAAAAATGTTAAAGAGCTCAGTCTGCCACAATTGTGCCTGAGTCGGGTGTTACTACAACAACAATTACGACGTCTTCTGAATCTAAATTATTACACATATACAAATTTAAAAGAAATTTTATTTTCGTAAGAATGAGGTTAATTGGCATTTTTAATAAAAATCGAAAAAAGGAAAAGAAAGAAAGAAATATCAAATGACTAAAGTTCGAAATAATTATTTCTTTTGATTTGCAGTGTCATTACTTATAATACAAGTTTTTATCCACGCTTACAGCTCCCTCTTAAACTGCAGAAGAAACTGCTTAAAAACTCATGGCGGATCAGCAACGCTCAAAAGGTGAGGATTTAATGATGGAGGCAGAGAAGAAGCTTAACGTTTCAGGAGGTGCTTGTTGTGGAAGAGGTGGACGAGCACATGTGGAAGAAGCTTGTGATTTATATGTGAAAGCAGCGAATGCATTCAAGATGGCAAAGGATTGGCAAAAAGCTGGTAACGCCTTCGCAGAAGCTGCGGCTTTGCAGTTAGAAAATGAAAGGAAGAACGAAGCTGGCATGAATTATGTTGAAGCTGCGAAGTGCTATAAAAAGGTAACGAACTGCAGGTTTTTTTCAATCAAACGCACTTTTTAGTTTAATTTATTGTAGATCCCTATCACATTTCGAATACTCGTTTTTGAGAATTCGGAGAATACCCCAAAAATGATATTTAAGACGAATTTTTGTAAAGCAAACATCTACTCACTTTCTATGGCAAATCCTTGTTGATTGAAAGTACATATTACTGAGGATTAATCATTGACCCTTTCTTAAAAAATTGAATGTAATATTTAAATTAATATAATTCAAAATCCTTTTTTCTTTGTAAAAAGTTTGTTTTATTGTTTTATTTTTTATTTATTGCTTTTTTATTGCATTTTCCGCCTAACAATTCATTATTTTTCACGAATTCATCTAGAGATCCTAACCCTTTACATGCCAGCCATTACATATTTCTTTCATGTTCAGACAAACTGACAATTGATACTCATAAAATTTTCAATTATTCTTCTTGTACTCATAGTATACTTTTATTAACATAGCAATAAATTGAGCAGTTTAGGATTAATAATATATTAAACAGAAATTGAACGGCAATAGTATCATAATTCTGCTAGGGAATATTTTTAGTGGTCTTGTGTATTTCGTGGTGCTGATTTCGATTGCGAAGCTAGAATTTATTTAATGGACTAAGTAGGAAATCAAAGATAGAGTTGAACTCTGGTCAACTTCTGAAACAGAATTTTCTATTCAAGCTATTGTTCTGTCCCAGAGTTCAGGTTGGCTACCTTACTCAACCGCACCATACACTTTCTCCAGTCATCATGGCTTCATCTATTTTGTTTACGACATTTGTATAATCTAGTATGCTCAGCTATCATAAAATGTGACTAGATCTATCTGTGATCCTTGTGACTTCTCGCATAGGCTTGAAGATTAACACAATAAAGGGTGTAAAGGACCCTTTTTTTATTGAACACAAAACATTTAACAGTTGGCACAAAACATCGGCCACTTGCGATGAGAGCCTGAAAGATACGTAACACTAAACTTAAAGGTAAAGAGTAGTGCTAGACTACACAATTCAATTTAAACTAACAGGCTGACTCAAACCGACACCGGCAGAATATTGTTGAATTTTTCTTCTGACACCAGTTGTTACGTTATTTTCTTCCTTCACGTTCGTACGGGGTTCGTGTGGATTTGGAGTGAATAACGAAGAGCACTTGATGGAATATCGAAACACACTTTATTGGCCGATATTAATCAGGACAGCTCCAAAATCACTGTTTTACAGTCGTAGAAAAACTACTATAAACACGCTGTCAGTCTTCACACTATCATTCTATAATCTGACCGTTATAGTCTATAATCTGACCGTCAGACCGTTATAGACTGATAGTCCTTCCAACTATCAGTCTATAACGGTCGAGACAGCTTCACTGCAAAGCACCAGAGTACAGCTCTCGACTCTGCTTGGTCGTTCTCGGAACTCCACGTACTCTCCACGCTACAACTCGCAATGCACGCGACGATACACAGTCTAAGACAAAACTCGACGCTAGACGTCGAGACACTCGCTCAATGACTGACTATCAGCTCGCTAGACGAGGCACACACACTCAATGACTGACTATCAGCTCGATAGACGAGACACCAACTCGATACTAACTCTAAGCGTACCAGCAGGGTTTATATAGCTTTTGACTGATGTTCGAGAACATTCTGGGCTAAACCGCTAAGAATTCGTTCCAGAAGGTTCTCCATCCGCCCATGGCATATTGCCAATTTTGTCGCCAAATACCGCCAAATGGGCGATTTTTCGCCAAATGTGGCAACCCTGCCTTCCCTCGTCGTTTTATGGTAACCCTAAACCTGCTTTGCGTGGAAGCAGCCTTACCGCGCCTGTACATTTCGTAACAATACTAACTCGACGGCAAGAATACGTAGCCGCTATTCAGTTTAACAACTGGTGAAAACTAACACAATAGCGCTTATAATAGCGAAATCACGTTCTGTCTGACCTCTTCGCTCCAGCAATTTAAATACTCTCGTTCACTCTACTTCAGTTACATCTTGGCGAGAAAATACGAGGGGAAATAAGAGAATTCAGGAAAGGCTTACGAAATAAAATAGCTGTTAGTGAAAATAAACAGGTCCTCACACATCAATTTACCAAAAGGAGACTGAAATATTGATATCAAGATTAAAAGCGTCAGATTTGTTAGAAAAAAACATGAAACAAAGTGTCAAAAAGAATCAATACTCAAAATTTAGGGTCATCAACGCATTTCCGAAGATTACAGCTCTTTAGGAAACGACCCACAATCGGCAGAAAGGTAAGATGGCTGAACACTAGTGGGTAAACCCGTTTTCAAATCCCGCGAAACAGCTGGCTGCATGGAAGTCTTTTGTTGCATGGAAGTTGAAGTTGTTTGTTCCCCCTATAAATAATGTAATGCACGAAATATGTACAAACTTACCTTAAAAAGTCCTCTATGAAGACATCCTTTCCCTCAAGGGCCCCCTATCCTTGGCCGGAACTCGAACCTGGACCTCTTGAATACGTGCCGAGTGTGCTACCATTACACCACGAAGGAATGCAGAAATGAGGGAGAAAATATCTTATATACTCCCCCTTTTAAAGGGCGACTGGGGATAAAGGGCCCCATTCGCCAAATCCTGGTGGTGAAGAATCATCATCCACCACCTTTTAGTTCGGGCGCCACTTTAGAGTCATTAGGATTATTTTTTGAAGCAGCAGATATAAAAGATGAGCAATACCCTGGCCGGAACTCAAACCTGGACTTCACGAAAACGTACCGAGTGTGTTACCCTTACAGCACGAAGGCTTACAGAAAAGAGAGAGAAAACACTTTAATTTAATAAATTTAATACTACGCATATGAAAGCGTCATATGAAAAACTCTTTTACAGTATAAACATCAGTATTCGAAGTACTTCGAAATGCTAGACTAATGGAAAGTGCCTAAATTAAAGTGTCAGAGACAAAAATGTCCAAGAAAATCTACATTAAGGGCTGTATACCTTCGACCACTTTTTTTTTAATTTTAAGTTTGTGCATTTAATTTTTGGTTTAAAGTAATTAATGATGAAAAAAATGAAGAAGCTGAGTTATTTAATGACCATTAATTTTGTATTTTTGGAGAATAAAGTAAGAAAACAACAACAAAAAAAAAAAAAAAAGCAGTATTTACAATAAATTTTGAAACACTGTGTTAAAAAAAGTATAATATAGTTTCATATTTTGTAAAATGCGAACTCATCATAATGATATTCTTTAGGAGGTAGACTATTATTTTAAAGCTAGGAAGTTATTAAATATTTTTTTTAAGCTAGAATGTGTAATATAACAAAGAAAAAGCATATTTTTTCATTAAAATTCATGTTTAACACATAAGAACTTTATAAAAAATGCATTTATCAATTAATAAATAGTATATATCCTTACATGAAGTGTTCTAAAGATTTATACCAAATTGCATAAGATTTCAATCATAATTTTTAAAGATATTGTGTTTCTTGTTAGCATTAAAACACGAAAAATGAAAAATGAGATAAACGCATTTAAAGAATTAAAACACTCGATTACCTACTTTTAATCAGTTTATAAACTTAAAATTACCTTGATTTATATCTAATGCCTTCTTGTTTTTCAGAATTTATATTTTTTTTTTCTTTCTTGCAGCTTTTAAAATTTTTCTCTGCTTTTTAAAGTCAAATTAGGGAATGTCGTTTGCATTGTCGATAACGGTTAAATTCAAAACTTTCATACTCGTTCGCGGTGTAGTAACCAATATCTATAACTAATTTACCATATCTATACCTAATCTACACCAATATCTATCTATACCTATAAAAATTACTGAATATTACTCAGTAATAAAAAAACGCTTATCAGCAATGTAAACAACACGAGCGAAAATGCGTTAGTGAATTCATGACATACAGCTTGAAAGTATGCTAGAACTTCTTTCGTTGCAATCATAAAAATACTTTTTAGTCTTTAAATAGCATTTAAATAAAGTTTTAAACCCCAAAAACAAAAGTAAACAATTCTGACACTCCCATTTTGGACTTTTAAATATCTACGTCTTGTGCACTTCCGGTATGTTTTTCGATGACAAGGTGTCAAATAAAGTATCATAACTCTGGTTTAAATGAACGTAGGAACAAACTTCAAACAGTTTTGGAAACATAAAAAATAAGACTTTCATCGAGGATAAGAAAAAAAGGAGTTTTTTTTATCAATATCTCTGTTTCTAAGGTATACAGCCCCCTTAATATTCTCAGGTATATTGGAATATCAATAGTACCTTTCGGAAAACGAGTTCTAGACGTTACAGTCACTGTGCTACCCGATGCTAAAGTTGATGTGCTAACCACTACACCGTAAAATGTGAGGAATTCCTTTAATTCTGTATTTATTTATTTTTTCTAAGGTAATTTTTGCCAGTCATGAGAGTTTATACCAATTTTTCTTAATGTATTTTTGTAAAAAATATGTCTTTTTCTTAGAAAGAAAGCATAATAAGAAAATTTAATTAATAATTTTGAAATCATAATTCAGGGTGGAATAATGCCAAATGGCAGCGCGTATATGCATGTCTTGCTTGTCATTTCCCAAATGAGTCGTTTCCCAAAACAGTTTTGGCGGTTTTATTTCCGGCTCAGTCCGAGCTGAAAATAATCTTTGACATCATTTCTATCTCAGTCTTCGTTTTGCGACCTCTCGTATAAATGTAAAGAGAGTAGAATTATTCTGATAATAATCAGACTTTTCTAAAGTAATGTATACCGAGAAGTGCGTGTACACCGAGAAGTGCACTCTTTCATAATGACGTATTTAAAGTCATTTTGAAAGAGGTCTTTCACAGCGAACTTATTGTGGATTTCTATGTTTTAATATGGCAAATTTCTGAAAACTCAGCATTGTAAACTAGCAAAAAAAAATGACATTAAGCAAAGCTATTTCACAGCTCGAAATTATAATAAATTGCTATTAATGGCTAATATTTTAAGAGACGATAACAAGCTTCCCTTATGGCATGTCTTATAAATATTTAAAGGAGAATAAAAGCTTCCAATAAAATAAGACAAAATAAAACTAAAATCAAAATATTTATGCAATATGGTTTTCTTCTATAACCATACCCTAACAAGGTAAACCATAATGAAAAAGTGTTGCCTCGTTGAAAGAACTGACATCACCTTCTCTTATTTATAATAGAGAGTATAAAAATACAGACATTTCCATAAATGAAATGAGGAAATTTTTCCCGATTGGGCTAATTCGGGAATAAAATTATTGACTCTTCTCCTCTAATGTTCAGATGAGAACACAAACGTTCAGGCTATTTCGGGAATGGGCTCAATAGGCATTAAGCCACCTTTCTGAGGATTCCTTAAATGCTCAGATATGCTGAGCACACCTGAGATGGATACTTGAAACTTTACTGTAGTGCTTATGGTATTGTTGCGTTTTTACGGGTTCGTGGATTTTGAATGATTAACGACAACACTTGATGAACACTTGAAAATTTATTAGCCATTATTACTCAGGATAGCTCCAAAAACACATTTACAGTCGTCGAAAAACTACGACAAACACGCTGAAACAATCAGCAATACAGCCTTCCAGCTATTGGCGTATAACGGTGAAGACAGCCTCACGGTAAAACATTAGAGTACTGCTCCCGACTCGGTTCGGTCGTTCTCAGAACTCAACGTACTCTCGAGACGCTCCACGCTACAACTAGCGATGCACTGGATAGCCTCAACGATGTACACTCTCGATGCACCAACCCGCGACACACTGACGAGACACCTCGACACAAGACTGCTACTCCGCGCACAGGCAGAATAATATAGTTTTTGGTCTGCCTTCGAGAACATTCTGGACCAAACCAGTAAGAATTCCTTCTGGAATGTTGTAATCCGTCTATGACATATCTCCAATTTTGTAACCAAATGGGCGATTTCGCATTCAATCTGGCAACCTTGCCTTCCCTTGCCATTTTCTGGCAACCCTAAACCAATTTTGTGGGAAAGCTATCTTATCGCACCCGGGTATTTCCTAACAATATATTCCTATTAAAGAATGATAATGCACGATTTGATCGAGCCATACCTATCATTGCGTATTGGTTAAGTGAAGGTAGCGAAAGAATAGCCTGGTTTCTGGACCTTAAAGTCCTTTAATCAGGATCAAGTTGTCTCAGGATGCTCTCAACCTTTTCGCTATTGTAATCTTAGAATCTTAGCATGCTTAAGGAGCAATGGAATATGTTTCTACGAAATTGGTTTCAAAACTTTTATTTGTATACAAACAAAAGTTGTCAAATTTGTCTTTCTGTCATAGGAAATTCGCCCATTTTATTAAATTTGTGTTCCTGTCATAAGAAATTCGCACACTTTATTAAATTTTTGTTCTCATAACTTTTCAGGAATAGTTATTTTATGTCTACTTTTTTTTTCTCCTTCTGTTATTGTTTTAAAACACTTTTTTATTTTTAAAATGTATGACATTTATTTTTGCATTTCGCAAAGTATGAAAATATTTACACTTTTTTCTGGTAAGGGTTTTTTATTCCTGTTCTTTTTTATTATCTTTTAATTTCTTTTCGCTCTTTTAATTTAAAAGTAAATTATGATATTTTAGAGAATATCAAGTTCTATGAACATTTCATCAGAAATACATTTAATGAAAGGCTTTCCTAAAGGCATATATCTTGTACTTTGGCTAAAGAAATTTTTCGCTTTACCCTTAATTTTATATTAATTCAGATTCAGGTATGTTAAATTTCCAATATTAAACTTCTGGATTATCGTAAGAATTCTCATATTAATGTTCTGATACACTAATTGATTCATGACACACACCTTGAAAGTATGCTAGAACTTGTTTCGTTGCAATCATAAAAATACTTTTTAGTCTTTAAATAGCAATTAAATAAAATTTTAAACCCCAAAAACAAAAGTAAACAACTCTGACACTCCCACTTTGGACTTTTAAATATCTACGTCTTGTGCACTTCCGGTATGTTTTTCAATGACAAGGTGTCAAAGTATCATAACTCTGGTTTAAATGAACGTAGGAACAAAATTCAAACAGTTTTGGAAACATAAAAAATAAGACTTTCATCGAGGATAAGAAAAAAAGAGGAGTTTTTTTATCAATATCTCTGTTTCTAAGGTATACAGCCCCCCTTAATATTCTCAGGTATATTGGAATATCAATAGTACCTTTCGGAAAACGAGTTCTAGACGTTACAGTCACTGTGCTACCCGATGCTAAAGTTGATGTGCTAACCACTACACCGTAAAGGCATATGGGAGGAATTCCTTTAATTCTGTATTTATTTATTTTTTCTAAGGTAATTTTGGCCAGTCATGAGAGTTTATACCAATTTTTCTTAATGTATTTTTTGTAAAAAATATGTCTTTTTCTTAGAAAGAAAGCATAATAAGAAAATTAAATTAATAATTTTGAAATCATAATTCAGGGTGGAATAATGCCAAATGGCAGCGCGTATATGCATGTCTTGCTTGTGATTTCCCAAATGAGTCGTTTCCCAAAACAGTTTTGGAGGTTTTATTTCCGGCTCATGTTAAGCTGAAAATAACCTTTGACATCATTTCCATCTCAGTCTTCGTTTTGCGACCTCCCGTATAAATGTAAAACTAAATTCCTTTTGCATTTTAAATTCACCTATTCAGTCGAAATAATAAAGAAATTCCAGAAGTTTGAAATTTCGAATACTATTCACTAAGAGTTATAGCTATTTTAAATTTACTGATCGCTTCTAAGCAGTTTGCAGTTATGGGGTCCTTTTAACAAAATTCTATTGCCACTTGATTTTCCCTGGTAGGTTAACCCAAAGGATTGTGAGCAGTGTCTTATCAAAGCAAGTGAGGTCTATAGTGATGTCGGAAGAGGTAAGACAGCTGGTAAGCAGCATATGACTTTGGCTGAACTGCACGAGGAACAAGGGAATCTTGAGAAAGCTCTTGAAGAATATCAAACAGCTGCAGATTTATTCACTGGTGAGGTAAGTACTGCTAAGGAAAGTTCTTTTTTCTGATATGAATATGGTAAAAAATATTCGCTGTCTAAGCTATAAAGCACCTGTTTCACAGGACTAAAAATATTTGGATTGTAGAGAGAGGCCAAACTGCTCTTTAATGAGATGGGATCAGAGTTTTTCCCTGAATGAACTGAATTAGTGCTTTTTTTATGATTCACCGCTCACTAACAATAACCTTGATGAAAAGCATCGGTAACGAGGAATGAATCAAGAGCAGTTAGCGAGACTGGAGAGAAAAGCGGAAAGAATTGTACTAGTAATGAGATGAGAAGAAACAACTCAGTGAAACGCTAACTCCCAGAACTGCTTTCTTTCATCTAGTTTTGAGATTCCTTAAAAATCTCTTTCTACATAGAACTAATAATAAAATTCTAGAATAATTTTTTTCAACAACTTAGGAAATGATAAAAACTAAACTCACTTAAAATACAGAAAATAAACATTCTTTTCTCGCCTAAAATGGTAACTGAACTTTCTTTTCACACCAAAGAAATTATTATGCATTCTTTGGCATTCGGCATACGTTAAAGTTGCTGTTAGCTCAGCTTTTAAGGTTTTTGAGGTACAGGATAACCTGCACTGGCAGGTATTCAAGCAGAGGCTAGATGTGTTCCTATTTTATTAATGTAACGAAACTAAAAATTTAACTATTAAGTAAATTAAACATAATCAATGATTCTTTTCTCTATTTCTGTGGAACTTTGCAAGCATTCGGAAAGCAACATTTAAAGCGTTAAATTAATCCAATCCTTCCAGATACTTTTTATAACTTAACAATAACTTTATTTCTTGCGTTTGCTACTATGTTTTCCCACAGATGACGTTGCGCTCGTTTTACCTTAGCTCAGTACTTTTTTTCAATATAAAATGGTAGCTCCCGTACCCCCATTTTTGTAAAAACAAATTTTTTGCTATTGCCATCGAAATCTATAAAGTTTTATTCAAGATCTACCCCAGATTAAGGGAGCCTTTATTTTTTACTATTTTAAATGCAATTATATACTTTCGCTAGCTTTTATCATTCGAAGTATTACTCTCAGTTACTATTAAATTTAGTGCAACAAAGAAATCGAGAGTTTCTTCTCTAGCGTACAAAGTTAATTTCGAAGATGTTTTAGAACTATTTGATTTTCGAAGCAGGACACTTGTAAAACAGCAGTGTCTTCTCCGAAATTCGAACCATGAATTTTTCGACTACTAGCCGGACGTATTACCATTTACATCATGGCAGCATGAGGGAGGGAGGCGATGATTCCTTATACTCGTTTCCATTTAATGGCGACTTGGAAGAGAGAATCGACACCCAATCGGCGGAATCCAGGTGGGGATGAATTATCGACCACCAATTTTAATTTAAATTTTAATTTGACTTTCGCAGGAATGAAAAATCAGCAGTGAGCTCACCAGGGTTCAGAATCTTCTGATTGCTAGCGAGAATTACTAGCTACACCACAAGAGCCCGCACAGGGAAAGACGATAATTTTTTATTAAATTTCTTTCCTTGGTTCAGTGTAAAATTAAGATGTAAATCTAAACTTTATTAAACAAACTTAAAGATATAATAATTAATTATCGTTTTGCAGTATATGCTAAGTCCTCTTTTTATTTTTTTAACAGGAAATGGTATCTTCTACAACCAAATGTCTTCTAAATGTGGCAACTCATAGCGCTACTCTTGGTGATTTACAGCGAGCCGAGGAAATCTTCGAGAAACTTGGCAATGAATCTTTTTCCAACAAATTACTGAAATATACGGCATGTGAAAATTTTTCAAAGGCAGGCCTCTGCCGATTAACTCGGAATCCTCAAGATGGGGATGGTCTCATACAAAAGGTGATGGAGTGGCAAGAGGCAAGTCCAGCGTTTGGGGAAAGCCGTGAATTCACATGGTTGATACGCATGGCGGAAGCTGCAAAAAATGAAGACGTTGATGCCTTCAATGAAGCTATTAGATCCTACGAGTCTATAAAAAGACTCACAGATTGGGAAAACAATCTACTTAAAAAAGTCAGGAAGAATCTTGGACCCGACTTGAGGTAGTAAGTCTCTCGACTGTGCTGAAATATTTTAGCTGTAGTTAGATCGTATTAACCATACTGAAGAAGGATGACATTTTAGGACCCTTTGCCTTCTAGAACTTATTTATTGATGTTTAATATAACTATTCTTTTTTCTTGACCGAAAAAAAAGCTTGGGCAAGTTGAAGAGTTTTATCTCTGAAAGTCTTGATTCCATAATTCTTCATATGATGACAAGTAAGGTCATCAATAAATGTTTCATCAATAAAAATGAAATGGAAGTATTGATAATTAATTTCTGGCACAAGTGCTTATATCTTATACTATGAAATGCAAGAAATAAAGACTTATTTCGTGCCGCAAGTAGGCAAAAGCAACAGGTGCACAGCACAAGGCACAAGATGAAAAGGCTCTAAAATAAAAGTAAAACGGATGGAAAAAGAATGAACATATAATCAATAAATTTCCTCAGCACAAGCTAAAAAAGTGCACTTAAAATGCTGCTATGCATTTATTTATAAATACATATGAATAATTTTATGTAATCTCTATGTAAACAAAAATCTATTTATAAGCAAATGTTATTCCTGTTTCTATTATTACTGTCGTCAGTAGACTTAAAAGTGAACCCTGTATAATAGTCAATGAAGATCTTCTTACGAAACTGGATCGAGCGATTATAAACTAAGGATTGACACTGTACATTGAATTTCACAACGTTAAAGATGAATGGTATTTAATGTATTATGTAAAGTGTTGAAGTTTGGTTGTAAATATTCAAAACAAAAATTGTTAATTAACGTTCAAAAATATGGACTGATTAATGAGATTTTGAAGGTAATGAGTTGCAGATTCTAATGAAAACTGTGATGAATGTTGAATTATAACATGAAAACATAAAAATGCATGATCAGTTATTCCAGTGCCTTTACAAGTTTTTATTCATCAGCGAGCCTCAATGTAACGCTTTCTTTTTCAAGGAAGATCCTCCTTTTTTAAACTGTTATTAATTCTTTATAAGCAACTGACAGTGACGCAATGAAGACGGCTATAGCAAGTAACTGCATTGTATTGACACTGGAATAACTGAGTTAACTATAGATATTTTGATAGTTAAGATATTAAATTTATTAACGAATTTTCATTAACTTAATATGGTTTTGTTTTGATATATGTAATAACATAGTTGTGCTTTCAATTTAGTATTTATTTTACTAAGCGTCTGTCCTTTAAAATGTCATAGCAAATTAGGACAGTCTTCGGAACTTAAAATAAATGCATAATCCCTGATTAATAAAAAAAATGTCTTTATATCATTTCGTTTTTAATAAAGACCACACTAGCAAGTGTTTCGTTTGGCTGAAGAAAATGGGAAAAATATTTTGGCTTCTACAAACAGGATGTGGAAAATAAGTATAGCATTCAACATTCAGTTTTGAAACGGTCTTAAGCTTAAAGACAGGTAGGAAAAACGTTTTGAGTGACTACTAAGAATGATAAAAAAAATTACATGAGGCTAATTTATTGAGCATCCTCAACAATATTTTAAGGTCTTCCTCATCAGCCATAATAGATGCACAGCTCGCTTTAAATATCGAGTCAGACAGAAGTAAAAAATTAGCAGTTTACTTCCTGATGAATTCAAACGTTTATAATAGAATCTTATCTTTCCTGTATTCTCCTCTTCTATACCCCCCCTCCAACACTGCATTCAAACAATTCAACCTAGCCCATTTTCTGATTAAATAAAACTATAAAGCACACGTAGCGTTACTTTACATTATGTAGCATTTTTGTCTTACCACTCCTGAATTTATTAAGTTTTCTTTATGTTATCGTTTTGACTTGTAGAGTCATTATGTTATTTCGAAGCAGAAGAGATGAAAAATGAGCAATGCCCTCTCCGGGTCTCGAACCACAGACCTCTCGAATACGCGTCGAGCGTGCTGACCACTACACCACGAAGGTATGCTAAGAAGGCGGGAGAAATATATATTCTTATACGCCGAAGTTTTTTTTTTTTTTTTTTTTTTTTTTTTTTTTTTTTTGTTGTGTGTGTGTAAATGAATGCATTTTTTATTCGCTTTATGACATTTTTACGAAAGGTTGCTTAGGAGTACTTTGCCTTAGGATATTTGCCCAGTATTAAAATAATATAAAACGTTTATTATTTAGCAGTTTCCCAAATTTTAATGCTCGGGAAACTGTTACTTCCGTGTGTGTTTTAATCACTTCAAATTATTTTTTAATGCACAAACTATCTGAAATAATGGGAATTTGCTCTTTGTGTTTTGGAAAATGTATCATTTTTAGTGCTGTCGATTCATTGAGTTGCTTTAATAAACTTATATAGTTAATCATAATATTTATGCGATTCATTTAACAATCATAAGTAATGTTGATTGCTTTCACTAGTTTGAATAAAGTTTTGAATAAAAAGGGGAAAACATTTGGTTTCCCCTTTTTATTCCTTTTTATTCAAAACTGTGGAAAAGGGGAAAACATTTGGTTATGTTGATTAAATGTAAAAAAAAAAAAAAAAGTTAAAAAAAAACATAGCCAATTATACATAATGAAGAAAACATTTACGGTCAATTATACGAAAAATAATAATCAGTGACAATAATTACAGGAATAAACGCTTTTTATTTAAAATATTGAACCCTTTCGAAAAGGAGTTTAATTTTTTTTTTTTTTTTTTTTTTTTTTTGTTTGTTGTTGTTGGTTTATAGGTTTTAGGTTTATAATTTTGCAGCTGACATCTGTTATTTTAGGTTCAGATACTGAAAAAAAAAAAAAAAAAATTCCACTGATGCCAACCGGCAACTATTTGCAAAAGTAAGGAAAAAATTGTCCAGATCATGTTATCTTAACTTTCAGAAAGAATGAGTAAAGACCATGTTAGTATTTTCTTTGTTTGGCAGAAAGTTATTCGTGAGGAATATTTGCTAAACAGACTTCTTAAAGAAAAGAAAGTAACACTGCTTCTTAAAGAAGAGAGCAGTGTATTTCCATGACTTCGTAATATCCTAGCTGAATTAGAATTCCTTGTAAGCTGGAATACTGAAGAATTAGGTAGTGACTATTCGCTGAGTTCTTCTTAGTGATAAGTCCAAAGAAGGGTTAAATTACCCTTTATTCCTCAAAATAAACGAACAGATGGCGCCTCTTAGGCGCACAGTAACCCCCCACTTGGGCTTTAGCATAAAATAGAAAATATAAAACTAATCTAATGCTAAATAAAATTAACTAGTCGAAGCTGCACAGAATCAACTAACGGAGTTGGCCCTTATTTAAAGATCACCGGCGTATACCAGCAGGCACGTAGTAGAAATGTCGTAGAACAGTAAACTTAGACTAACAGCAACAGCGTGGCCGAAAGGCAGAACACGCTATCCTATTGAATTGAGCCAGACTTCAGCTTAAAAACTAGCGATTGCTAAAGTGAAATAAAACTATCACTAACGTGAAAATTAACTTAAAATGTTTTATTTTGCTCTACTACAACTAGAGCCAAGAGTAAGTTAAATTACACAACTCAAAATTTCGTTACGAACTGCAGGACAAGAACTCGGGAATGCAATGCAAATAACAGTAACTCAGATTTTAAAAGTAATAAAATAAATAATAAAAATCACTCAGATGCTTGTTATCTATCTAATTATTACACTGGCTTGGGAGGTCTTTATCACCGGGAGTTTAAAACGTCTATTCTACAAATGCGATCATTCTTATCGGGTAGTTATACTGCTTCTTTTTGTTCATGACTTAGCAAATATACCGCAGAATATCTAGCTAATATGGCCGTTGTTAGTTAAACTGCATTCTTCAGTTTCTACTTCAACCTTATCAGTGTTCATTTACGCTTATTTCATATACTCAATAAATTTGAGTTTTTTGGACAAGGAGAGGAAAATAATTGCCTAATTGAACGAAGAATTTACTCTTTTATGTAGCTTATCGTAATTATTGTTTATACATCAGGATAAAGTTAAAAAATCACTTAGTGTGCGAACATAGGATTTTCTTAATTAAAATAATGGAGGGGTTGAAAGGGAATTCCTAGAAATTTTCAATGGTTAAAAAATGTTTATGATCCTTTCTTTCGATTACAAAATTATCCACCCATTAGATATATTCTCTGAAAGCTGCACGAGGAATTTTACATGTTTTATAACTCGAGGAAAACCGCAAACTATCCCAGAGGCAGTTTATAGTAAATGACTTTTGCTACGAAGGCCTATTGTTGGTTCTTAGAAAGTGGATGTGAAGGTAAAAACTAACAAATTGTCTCTGTTAAAATAGGCACCGCTTAAATTTATTACATCTGTCCACGACTATTCGGATAACATTAACTGAATGATAATGTGAAACAATGCGAAAAAAATGTCCTTCATAATATCAAGGAATTAGACAAATTTAACATAAAAATAATTAGAAATGTATGAACACTTTCGTAGCATTTTAAATTTCCAAAAAGTTATCCATTCTGGATTGTTATGTTTTTGAAAATAATTTAACTGGTAATATACGCCTAATCTTAATTAATCAGCAGCCCTTATCTTTTACAGCTAATTCTTCAGCCTTCTGCCTCATCAATGAACCGCTGATTTCTACATATATTTCATGAATTGTGCAGGGGATAGTAAACTAAACCTTCAGTGCTTTTTTACTAGTCTCCGTTATAAAAAGGATTGAACAGTTACAAAATTGAGTGCTTTCTCGAACAGAACTTTCATAAAAATCTAAAGCTCAAAACACACTCAAGAGAGTTTTTGAGGCGATAAAGCAAGTTCGGATAGTATTCAGCTTTAATAAACCAATTAGTCTAGTCCATCTTCCTAAAACTTGGAAAGTGGGTTCCTCTGTACATTGTTGAATTGAATAAAAATTAGGCTAGTTAGCGTCTTAATCCGTTACATGACGACATTTCTCTGTTATTTGGCAGTTTCTATGCTCTAGTTCGATCTCTTGATGAAGAATCAAAACACGATTTATTCGTCAGTAAGCACTATTATACAGAACAATTCTAAAGACACATTTGCAGCGTCGAAACACTACGACAAACACGCTGAACCCTTTAGACTATAACGGTGAAAAGAGCTTAATGGCAAAGCATTAAAGTACAGCTCCCCTCTCGGTCGATCTCTCTCCTAATCTCTGAACTCAAGATACTTCTATCTCCCAGGATAGACAAGATATATATAGCTTTAAGTTATCTTCTAGAATATTCTCGAGAAAACCGCTAAAATATGTTCTAGAATGTTCTCGCTCCGTCTATGGCATATCTGAATTTTGTCACCATATATCGCCAAATGGGCAATTTCGCGCCGAATTTGGCAGCCCTGTCATCCCTGCCACTTTCTAGCAACCCTAACCCCACTTTGCGGGGAAGCTATCTCATCGCACCTGGGCATTTCGCAATGATATTTTGATTACATTAAACGACTCGCTGATCATAAAAGTATTTTCCAGATTTTTCGTATGTAAACGAGCGGGACTTGGGCAATTCTATAAAAATATCCGAATGATGACACTAACCGCGATCACATTACGTGGAGCCTAGTGTAATAACACTTTCAGAAACAATTTTTCTTTGTTATGTCTTTATTGGCTTTTATTCGCATTTTAATTCAAACCACATTTGTTGAATAAGTATTAAACTTTTCTGTATGTGCTTATAAAGCGCTGTTTGGATATCCATAGTTTTCTTCCAGTTTCTCGTAGTTTTCTATCCCACTTTAAAAACGGCAAATAAAGTACCTTTTCGATTTATTTTTGCTTAGTTTCTTAGAAATTAGCACGTTTCCCAATTATTTTTATTGAAAAAATAAGTTTATACTATAGTGATGGTTTACTCCACGTTGCTCTCATGTTGCTCCAGACTTCTTATCGATCCAGTATGATTACATTTCCTAAGTAGGTTTGAAGCTTTATCACAAATTTAGGTTATTTTGGTCTTCCAATGCCTCTCATTTATTTAATATTACCCAAATTTTCATTTCAGTTATTACATGGGATGTATCCAGAGTTCTAGGAATTGAGCTTTAATTCAATCCCTAGAAATTATACTATAAGTCGAATATTATGACATGCCACTGTCCCTTGCAATATTGTTATCCCTATCCAGCTATTAGACTGATACAGACGAATTTTTGTGGCACTATGTTTGCGACCACAGAATATGTGAAGAGCATTTGTACAAGCATTAGGTTTTTTTAAAGCAGAAGGCGTGAAAACTGTGCCATGCTCTCCCCGAGACTCGAACTTGGTCCTCTCAAATATGTGCCGAGTGTATTAAATGTTACACC